TCATCGACGGACGTTGTCCGCACTAATATGTCTCTAGTGTGTCCCCATGGTCTGTTGAGCAGTTTCCGCAACAGTGACAAAGCGATCTTGAAGATGTCCCACAATCTGACCATCCTGACGTCGAGTGGGGACCTTTGGTCGTCCACTACGTCATCGGTCACCTGTAGTGTTGGTGGTCTGGTACCGTTGTTGGAGCCTGTATATGGTCCTTACGTGGACTTGACATGCATTGCCGGGCGATTTGTCCAGCTTGCAATCGTCCAAGGGCTTGGTGTCGCTGATTTCTTGTCAATCTTGGCATGTGGTAGCAATTCAATAACGAATGAATGTTATCCGATCTGGGTGGATTTTATAGGGCAAAAAATGGGGGAACGCATATGCGTTTCAATTTGCACGTGCATCGGGTTACCATCGCCGTTGCCATGATGCGTTTGGGCGATAGGTTTTATTGTCATCTGCTTTGTTTCTTTTATCATTAAATTTCATTTTCCGGACAAGGTGATGTTAAATTTTTAAACTTTGACCAAAAATACTCAGATATTTAAATGACAATTTTTATTGCAATATTACTTGGGGTGACGTTTCTTTTGCAGTTCAGTATATATTGTCTTACCTTATCCTTAGCTATCAATTCACGTCCTGTTTTATTTATATCCCTGAATCTCACTTTCCTCTTATATTCCCAGAAAACGAAAACTCCAATAAATATACAATCCATTCTTGTATTGCCATGCTATGTACACACTGATTCCTCACTCAGCATATTGTCACAGCATCATAATATTCCTCGATCGTTAACCCACAAAAAGAGTATGACTGTTCCCAGACTAAAACTGACATCTGGGTAATGATATATCTCAGTATCGCGTTGCGATCGGGGTGTTCAACTGTGTCGTAAAGTCTTCTAACAGGTTGTGTCAATTGTTTATCTGCCAATCGTCTATCACAAAGATTCTTTTGAACGAGCTGGACATAATGCATTATATTTTATCACTAGAAGTGAAAACTTGTAACGCTCGACTGTGCCTTTGTGTTCTGCAGGCTTATCTCGGCAATGTAAATGTATTTCTCGTACTCCTATTGTTAATACAGCTTGCAGGAGACGTTGAACTTAATCCTGGCCCACTGACCGGTGATGTAACTAATCTTGACCACTCATTGTCGATCTTCCATTTAAATACCAGGAGTGTCCTCAATAAGCAAACGTATCTTACAGAATATCTGTCTGAATATGATGTAGTTTGTTTCACTGAAACACATCTGGATGAATCTTTAGACAATGAAACTTTACAGTGACAATTATTTCATGATCCAATATGCAAAGATAGAAATGCTTTTGGGCGAGGGGTTATGATATATATCACTAAGTGTTTAACATACCGGAGAATGCACGAACTAGAAAATATTACTGTAGAAAATGTATGGATAAAAATGTTTCTTCCTTAAGGGTCTTTATTACTCTGTGTTGTTTACAGACCTTATCCTTATCTTTTTTATCCAGATGTATATGTTTTAACGAGATTGATGTTTTGGCTACAGAAACTCATGGTACTTAATTGAAAAAACAACCTATTTATCCTTTTGCAAACTACATGTACATGTATGTATGGCAAATTATACCTAATAAAATATTGATGCTCACAGCCATGTGCTATTTTTTCACACTGTTTTGTTGATATTTTCGAGTGTTGAAGATAATGCGTGACAGCTAAGTTCTCAGGGTCACAAAGAAATTGCACGTAACACCGTCATGCATTTCCTCTTTGCACAGCTTCGTTGTTGAGTTGGTTAGTGATAAAGGTATGTTCGTGGGCAGGACTAAAGATTAAAAGTCAATGGTTTAGGAACGTCCTCAGATAATGCTTGCTGTGAGAGCAACAGAATGTTGGGTGTCATTGTACATGGATTGTGGAAGCTATCAGTCACTGGATCTTGCTCTTATCTCAAACACATCCTTGACATATCGCCGACATTGGCGTCGTTCACTCACTTAAATAAAACGACAATTTATTTCTATCCGGGATTTGATATGAACGTTCGTTCATGTGATAGTAAAGACAAACAACACCATGTCACTAGCCAAGATTCGCGACCGAGATTACAAGCTTTATAAATGCTATGCACTTTGTGGTGGCCAACAACCGTTAGTGTTATTTCCCATGGGTTTGTGATATCGCTATACTCCCCGATAATTTCCCTATTTAGCCAATGAATCCTAGAAGAACATCCAAAAGCAGGTTCCTACACAATGGCACAGACTGAGGCTTTGGAGGTCATCTACATCCAGGAATGTCCGACCGACTGTGCTTTATTGGGGAGGCTCGGTACTGATTTGGGTGGGTGTGTTTCACACGAAAGCAATCTTGCCATCCAAGATGTGCATGCACGCGTGTATGTGTGGCTTCTTGTTCTTGCCCGGACTTATGCCAGTTTTATCGTGGCAGCCCCATGGGTACCTAACTAGTCCTGGCTTTGTCCTCTGAATACCAAACGTCAAGCAGGGGAACAAAACATTCTATCTATCTACATTTTGGTAGGACATCGTACCGACCTCCCGCGTTCCGGGTAGACGCTCTAGACACTTGCCCATAAAGGCGGCCCATCAACTATATAAGGGATAAGGTACAATAGCATAGGTGAAACAAGGAAGTTTGTATGTGTTTTTATAACATAATAAATTCGTGGTGTGCCTTAGACCTGTTAAATACACTCTTCAAAAAAAGAAACGCACAGGTAGATTTTAAGGAAATTAATTGTACCTAATAAAGTCAATATATTTAATTTAATATCGTACACACAAATATCATATTTTGGAGATCAATAGTCACATGTTTTTGTACAAAGGCATTGAAAAATGTTTATTTTCATGTCACATAAGGCAACAAGGTTGCGCTGAACTCAGTATCTCGTGTGACCGCCCCGGGCAGCAATCACGCCTCTGCATCTCCTCGGCACTCACTGGATAAGTGTACGAATTCTGTCCTGCGCAATGCTGCCAAATTCTGCTTGTAATGCGTTAACCAGTTGTGGGAGTGTCTGTGGTTTATTCTGACGTTGACGTACACATCGATCGAGTTCATCCCAGAGGTGTTCGATTGGGATGTGATCTGGAGATCTCAACGGCCTGGGCAGAACGTTGATGTTGGCATTATGAAGGAAGTCTACCGTGACACGAGCTGTGTGCGGTGGAGCGTTGTCCTGTTGAAACAGCTTCCTCTGGCGGTCAATGATTGGAAGAAGGTGAGATTGAAGAATTTGATTGATGTAGCGATTTGCTGTCAAATTTCCTTGGACCACAATCAAGTCATATCTCGTGGAGTAGGATATGGATGTAAGGTATGGCACCAACGCAAGCCTTGCTGTCGATGGATCTGTTGCAAAGCAGGGCGATAACTAGTCTTCTGGGTCGGATTCCAGCCTCGCGGAGATGGTTCGTGACGGTCTGGGCCGATATCCTCCTCAAACCAGGGGTGCGTCCTGCAGTCTCCGTAGCTGTGGCATTGCGATGACGTAGGTGGAACAGTCGAATGTAGCGATCCTGTGCAGGGGTGGTAACTCTTGGTCGGCCGATTCTCGGACGGTCTGCAGTGGAATTGAACTGTGTGTATCGATCACGAAGGCGGCAAATGGTGCTGTGGGGGACGTTGAAGTGCGATACCCCTCTTTGGATACGTCCTATGGCGATGTTCTGATCGGCAGCGCTGAGTTTCGGTATTTTCGAACTAGAAAAATGTTGACAATTGAATGATAAATTATTGGCTTATGTTTGCCTTTTTATAGCCACTACCACGAGTTACGAATGCCATAACTTGCACGTGCATTTTGCGTTACTGTTTTCCTCCATGACATTTTTTAACAAGTGTGAAAACAATGCCGTTTAAGACATTGCAAATCGACAATGGCTGCGTTTTGACGCACCGTTTGTCGAATATCAGGCGACATTCATTTTCCAATAACATATATACAAATTATATATAGGAGTTTTTGTGGGTAGTCAGGTTCAATGAACAACATACTACCTGTGCGTTTCTTTTTTTGAAGAGTGTAAGTGTTTACACGATGATCATTATCTTTCCGAGAGTTAACTGACTATAAAATTTGCCTTGTGGAATTGAGCCATGTTGTATAATATACTCTTGAAAAAAAGTAGGGGGAAATCGAAAATAACAAATTTGCCAAGAAGGTAAGAGGCATTCGTTTCTAGTAATAGTTGTATGATAATAATGAACGAATCGGGGATATATTACAACCGGCAGTGAAGTATGACAGTAGATTTTATGACCGCCAACAATCTGAAGGGACTACAGAGGTAAGAACATCTTCCCGAGGCATTGGAGTTAACTGACATTTAAAGTCCACTTTCCACCCTTGCCGAACTTGGCTGGAATTCCTGGACACGATCGTAGCGCCACCAGTGGCTTTTACAAGTTATGTTCCTTCTATGCCTCTCCTTTGGACCAATTAGATGCCATCTCTCGTATCACTTGCATTTGCTTCAAACAAAATGACGGCGCCCAGTCAAGATGATCTGATCGATAATCAAGATCTGTATTGTGATAAAACGAGTTTTACATTGCGAAGTGCATCAAATCACGTGAGCACCTGGATTAAAGACATGAAAAGATTTAGAAAATATCTGTTGACATCGAGTTAGCGGTGCACATGCTCTGCAAATCCTGCAATCAACCGAAATCTGCATGACAGTTTAGGAACTGGATTTCGATTTCGTTGCGCGATTTTGATTGGTCTATGCATTTACTCGTTAGTCCAGCCAAAATGTAACTCCTTAATACCAGCCTAGTTTGGCAAGGGTGGAAACTGGACTTTTATAGTCAGTTAACTCCCTTGCCTCGGGAAGATGGAGGATCATCGTCTTATCAGTCATATATTTCACTTTCAGATGAAACGAATTTTGACTTGTTCAAGGGAGTCATTCATAGGTCAAAATCTCCTCGACAACGCTCTCGCCATACAATTTAAAATGAAACTCATACTAACGGTATCTTGTGTGTATTTAATTTATACTTCTTAATTTATAGTCTTCAAACAAATATATGGAAACATAGATCACACTTTTATTTGCAAACACTGGTTATTTGTGTCATAATATTTAAAGATACTTTCTACTGATGAATCAATAGTCATATTATAGATAATTGTAAAACCTTCCGGGGTAACCTCTGTCCTCCTCAAAGTAAAGTACTGCTTGTACGTCATATGCCAATGCACTCGCCCTGTGAAAAATAAAGTCCTGTTCTGTTCTGTTCTGATAATGAGGAGAAACATCGTATTTCTGACAGCAAAGATGTTCACACTCCCCTCACTGTGACTACGACTTCAACTTTGTCATCGTCGCGATTACACCACCCAATGACAACCAGGATGGCGAAGAGGATCCACATGGGAATAGTGAAGTCAAAAGCATGGGTGTATAAGTTGGTGTTCGTGCAGGTGGATTGGAAAATCCACAGAGAACCTGAACAAGAAAACATATATGTCAATGACATGTACAACTTGTCTACTGATTATGCTTTTCTTACTGCAATTACAAAATAATGAAACCAATACAGAAAGTTACTATATTTAGATGAAGGTGTGGTTTGTAAACTTCCAGTTACCGCGGTGATAGAATGTTTTGGAAATGTCTTTAATGTTCACGTTCCGATGGACTTGGCATCGATGGAACCTTCCAGTATCTGGTCAGACTATATAAGGGGACAATAGCGCATTTTCACCATGTGAAGATCAGCTTTCGTGTGAGGATGGCTGATCATCCCTGATTCCCTGCCTAGATCATCACGGAGGCTTGACAACTGTCGCCGCTTGGTGAATAAATATCATTATCACTGACAATTGCTATCACCGCTGTATTTTGTATTTGATACTGACCACTGCCGTCGTATTTTTTATTGCCATTGAAAACTGTACTACCACTCTATTGTTTATTGCAATGATAATTGCTATGAAGTTATTTGTATATATTTGTAAAGTGAGTGAATATTGTAATACACTTGTTGGTTGTATACCACTTGTTGGCTGTTTGTTGGTTTCACACTAAGTTCTTTTACGTTCAGATTTCTGGATGCACATATTGTTTCAATATTGGAATCGACATGTAAAAAGCTGTCAAAAACATATCGATCGACAGGGTAATGTTAACTTTCACATACGTTCACTTGGACAGTTTAGATGTTTATGAAATATGATCAGTCTTTCTACAAGAAAATTTGCACGTCCTTAATTTATTATAACAAATGAAACACTTCTTTGTATTACATTCATCAAATGTATTGATGGATGCAGTGGATATAAGACACTAAACAGGAGTAGATCTAGAAGCAGTTCTGATTCTCCGGAAAGTAATAAAATTAATGTAGTACAAGCACGTAAGAAAAAAAACCTTGACGCCGCATTAGCAATCTTCCAGCAACGAGAGCATTTAAAAGAATTAAATAGTTGTCAAAGAAAGGTTAGTAAAACGATAGCATTAATCACAGATTAAAGTTGATAGATAAATAACCAACTTAAGCTGAAGCAGATATTAAGTCTACTAAAATACGGGGTGTATAGGCCACCATCAGAAAAAGATCTTGACAGGCCACCATAATTGAGGTCAGCGGTCAAATTAGAACAGAACCTATTTACTGTGTGATTTATGAATCACTGTCAAATAGTAATGATAACAAGTGTTCGCCGACTATGAAGTACTACTCTTTCCTGGTTAGACCTGTAAATGTCTGCATCACCTCGGGCTTTCCTCCCACATTAAGCTGACATGCCGCGATCTCACTTTTATACTGTCAAAAGCGGCGTTACAGCCAACTCAATCACTCCTGATGAGTAGATAAGCAGACTTTGGACTTCATGTTTCAAATGTCCAATGTTTGATTAATCAAGGACTAGAAATGAAACTTTTATATTATTGACTGGAACTGACAAGCGCCTGATCAGTAGTCAGACGTCTAAACATGAGATAAGAGCTTGTTGAATATTTGTGGGTCGTTAGAAGGTACCGGGTTTAGCTTTCGTTTCATATATGGCTGAGATGGAACTTTGTGGACCAGAACGTTGCTACTTTGAACTCCTTCTCGTATTAAATAGTAAATCTTCTTTCTTATTTGTTGTATTAACATAAAATCTGAATCAACGCGGACGTTTACCCACTATACTTTCGAAGAAATATAGAAGCACAACATGACTTGTTATTGTCGACTATGTTTCCATTACCTTGAATTCCCCATCCAATGTTGAACAAACCAATTAAACTACAGCAGGCCAGCAGGAGGCTCTTTGGCACACACTGACAGTAGTACCACAGGGAACACAAGATAGGGATGGCGACAGAGGTGGCGCCCTGGGTTACCATGTAGATGCCAAGATTGGTGTTGTTCGGACACTGGTTGTAGTCAAGGATACCTGGTACATAACACGTGTAGTCAAGGAAACATGGTACAATTTGTATGTTTAATGTATAAATGCAATATATATTTTCATTTTCCTCTTTTTCTTCGATTATAATGAACATAGACATAAGTGTCAGTTGGTATTAAGACCAACTTCTCAGTGGGTCTTTAATTGCCATACATTTACTATCTAAGGAAAAGTAAAAGATCATTTAAGAGACGATTCAATTAATTCGCTTCCCTTAATGACGTGACAGTACGGCAAAAGCATGATACCGGCTTACCAAAAACGATCATAGCAACCGGAAAAGATCCAAATACGAGAGAAGTCACCCAGATACAAATTTTCTCTGTAAACAAAATACACGTGTCAGTTTACCCAAATGTTGTGTATGTGATTGTATTTAAATTTAATCTTCCAGTGTCTTGGGAACTGAGTTGGAACTAATGACCTATCGAATTGATCGATAACATTAACATTACACCATTGGTATGTTCAAAACACATGTTGACGTTTCTTACGCCAATTGATCAGTTAAGTACAAATACGAATACTTTCATATGTAATTTCTCTCTAAACCTCCATCCAACCCAGGACAACCATTACTGGCCTTTTGTCTTAATTGTTTTTCTGTTACGACAAGGTTGACTTTAAATTATATGCCAACAGGGAATACTGATGGGAAAAATGCAAAATCCAAATTTCAATAATTTATTTCATCCCATCCACAATCACTACGTCATATTACCAGCTACATCCACAAAGAAATTAGTATTCATTATATAGGAACAAATGTCACCCAGTACTTTTCAAGGGGATTTCATAGCTGTAGTCCTCGCTGTTTCTTCTGGGTGTTGTTGTTTCACCTGTGTACAAAGTATAGAATTGTATTAAGATTCTGAATACATATTACAACTCTGCGAATCTACGAATCTAGGAAACAAATAAGAACGTCACGTTGACGTTTGATTTCAAATCACAATGCTTTGACAGCTGGAATATTGCTCAACGCCGCGTTAAACCATCGGCACTCACTCAGTGCAATGTTACCATGTTTAGCCTTTCTCATACTTAAAGAACGCCAGCATACTCACCGTGTCCCGTTATGATGACCGCCATATAGCTGGAATATTGCTGAGTGCGGCGTTAAACAACAAACCAACAAACCTGTTATGGTGACTTCACTCGAGATCGTCCCAACTACTTGGCCGGTCCGGGCACCTGTAGAAGAAGGGGTAGTTGCATGTGAGACACATACCGTCGAAGCAAGACACTCTAAATTCCTATTCAGTCGTAATTTCCTGTTGTGGCACGCACTTTCCTCGGCGTATTGACAATACACCAACCGTTTCTTGAAAACTGAGGTGTCTTCGTCGATATACCTTAAATGTATAGTTGTAACTATTTATAAAATCTCACCAGCGAGTAACATTTAGCTTGCACAACTGATGGAAGCAACCGCAAATGACATGAAATAACCACAATAGCATTCATTTCTTATAACTGCCTTATTAACGACAGTTACCTTATCTTTCAAATTAAAACAAACATCTCATTTATCTACAAACTTGAACGGGAAATAGCACTAAGATCCAGAATACCGTATATTATAGGCGTTAATAATTCTAGTAGACATTTTTTATACCATAGACAAGGAAATAATGCCGTATTCGCGCACCGGGCCCTCACAGAGCAATACCCCCCCCCCCCCGTTTTCTGAAACAACACTCTTTCATCAATCAATATCATTGTTACAACTTTCCTGCAACAATCGTGAAGACAATTCAGGCAATGTGACACTCAGGGGAACTCAGTGATAGTATGATAGCTCAAATCAAACATGAAGGAAGTTAGACTGTACACTGCAATGTGACCACAAATAACACCCGTTCTTGAATAGGTGAGGTGAAATGGGGTTTAACGTCGCGTCCAAGATTATTTCACTTATAAAGAGTGTGTGTGGCTGCTTGTACTAGTCCGGACTGATGCCGATTTATATAGCGCTAGCCCACTGAGATATCATGCCGAAGTTTAACTTAAATACCCCACGCAGACACAGTATACTAACTCCGAGCCGACCAGTCCTTGTTTTTGCCCCTTAATGCCGAGCGCCAGGCAAGTACCATCTTTTAACGTCTTTTGGTATGACGCGGCCGGGAATCGAACCCCGGACCTTTCGCTCTCCGGGCAGACGCTCTACCACTAGACCACGGAGGCGGTCCCGTACTAGAATAACAATAGCGGTGATGCATACCACAGTTTGGTCTTACCTAGCTCGGCGGCAGACAAGGTAACTTCATTGGAGACGTAGACTACGCTTTGACCCTCTACGCAGAAACAAAACCGTGTTTCATATAATACATATATAGTACCATGGCTCTGTAATCCACACAACATATTATAGGTCATTTACTGAGGTCCAACATATGTATATTTACGAGGGAACAGTCTACCATTATATTTTACTGATAACCATTACGGACATCAACAAAAGACACAACTTCAGATTCGTGAGTTACATACACATCTATCTGTCAGCTAGACAAGTACCCACCACTTACTCTTCTTGGAAGTTTGTTTGTTTGTTGTTAAACGCCGCAATCAGCAATATTCCAGCTTTATGAGGGCGGTCTGTAAATATTCGAGTCTGGACCAGACAATCCAGTGACTGACATCATGAGGTAAGGTGAAATGGGGTTTAACGTCGCGTCCAAGATTATTGCAATTATATAGCGACGTACATGCACGTGTAGGTATGTGTGTGGCTGCTTGTACTAGTCCGTACTGATGCCGATTTATAGTGCTAGCTCACTGAGATACCATGAATACCCCACTCAGACACAGTATACTGACTCCGAGCCGACCACTCCTTGTTTTAGCCCCTTAATGCCAAGCGCCAGACAGGGCAACAACAAGTACCATCTTTTAACGTCTTTTGGTATGACGCGGTCGGTGATCGAACCCCGGACCTTCCGCTCTCCGGTCGGACGCTCTACCATTAGACCACGGAGGCGGTCCTGACATCATGAGCATCGATCCACGCAATTGGGATACGATATGACATGCATCAACCAAGTCAGCGAGCCTGACCACCCGATCCCGTTAGCCGCCTATTATCACAAGCCTGGGATTGGGTTGCTGAACGCCTTTTCTACCCCGGATCTCCACGGGTTCTTCTTAGAAGTATACATTTACATCATCTTTCCTGAAAGCATATCTTGTAAAAGGAATAAGTAAGTTTTGGCAAAATAATCAAAATTGGAGTAAACATTTTTTTATGCATTCATTTTCACCGATATTTTGATTTTTACGCCCAATTGAAAATCGAGAGGTATTCTCTAGCATTGACGATTTGTGTGCGGTCGGTTTAGCTGCTGAAGCAGTTACTTTAGGGTCATGACGAGCACCACGACCATAGCTTGCATTTCAGGAGCCTATAATAATAACATCAAACATTATATGAGTGTATTGTGTCGCTGTAAGACACGAAGACATGACTGTATTTTGCTACATCTACGACTAATGACAATAAAACTAGACTTACGTGCAGCACTCATCCTTTGAGGATTGTTCTGAGAAGTGTATCCCCTTTTCAGCTTGCGTATTGCGCTCTTGTGTGGAGGGAGGCGTCAGTTGTCTCAATCAAGTCAACAAGGAAGCCAGATAAGCCCTGCGATAAAGAGATCTGGGTCACCTGATATGTAATCGTTCGAATTTAGTCATTATTCTTCCACTGGCGGTCGCATGTGTTATTGCTTTGTCATCTGTTGCATTTATGCATGTTATTTTTTGTTTGAAAGCTGATAAAAGGGTCATCTGGACTATGTAAATATTTGGTCGAGTCTGTTTTGCAAATGTGATGTCGTTTTACCTAAATTTAATTTATTGAGAACTATGTTGTTATAGCACTTCAACCAGTATGCTTCGCCATCTAAACTAAAGGACATAGACGTTTAGTTCATATTTCCGTGATGCTGAAACTGAAAATTACACTTTGCGACAAAGAATATGGAAATTCATACATTGTTTTGCAAAGCTGGAACTTTCTTATCAATAATCAGAATACTTTTTTTGCATCATCAGATAGCCCTTGTGATAGCCAAGAAACTGTTTTAATTAGACACGTCAGTCAGATGAGCTATTACGTAATTGACATAAGGAGAATAAGGCAATGTGGCTGATTTAAAAAGCTGTAAAACCTTAGCTATACTCAGAATCCACATGTCTTTATCCCATTAGAAAGCTACCCGTTTTTTAATGTCGTTATTGACACCTCACTCAAGAGAGTTATACCTATAAAAATCTGGATATTTTTATATATTTGTAAACTTATCCTGCATTTACTGATCACTTTTAACGGAAACGAAGCTGTGATAGGTCCAGTTTTTGAGAAGACAAAGTTTGATCCATTCTAGATGCAGGACCCCAAATCATCAGCTGACACGTCATACCGGAAGTGGTGAGGTCACGGAACATTCACATTACTGTTCGTCACACTTAAAATGTCTGAAGTTATCGTGGGGAGGCAGGTCTGAGACGGGCGGGCCTTTGGACATAGTAATGCAGGATGAGCGTACAAATATAAAAAATAAATCTAGATTTTATTTGATTTTTTAACTTATCCTGCATTACTCTTTTATGCATTTGTATCCGACAGTATCCAGGGTATCTTCAGATGTGTACACAGTAAACACTCTCACCACTTGCAGTCGTGTAAGCGCAATTCTTCAGCGTAGATCAACCAATCCTGTCCACGGTAAGGAGGCGCCAGAATATGAGTACGTTCGCGAAACAAACAGTAAGAGGCAATGTTATGCGCTAGGGTTTAGAACCTGGATTACAAAGCCATGATTGCGTAAAATGGAAGACCGCCCAAAACATTCTTCCCTGACTGTAATTACTGAACGATTACCTTGTAGAGCCATCGGGGAGGCAACGTAGGGGTTATTAGCTCTCGGTGGCTCGAGGATTAGGAACCTCATAAGCCTGAAGGACAGCATGCAGCCATAGAGAAATGGTATTGCGGCTGGCTTCGGGCGTAGACGTCTGTGAAACGGGAATAAATGACTGTTTTGGGGTACCAGTCTAGTCCTGGAGCGGCGGATGAAAAACTCGTAGTGCACGCCCACAATTGGTGATAAGGGTGGGATTGTGAAACAACAGTCGTGTTGTCATGGAAGCTGTTTATTGCTATAAAATTCCAGCAAAACCCGAGGTGAACCGCTCTGTGCGTACTACGGTCAAAGCGTACACGAGTGGTGTGGAGGGCATGAATCTCACTCACTCTTGCAGCTGTGGCTAGTGCCAAGAGAAATATGTAAATTCATAGTGAGCTTATTGAATGATCTTGCATGGAGGTTCCATGCAATCATCGAAGCACCACATTCAAATCCCACACAGGGGGACGAAATTTGGCCTTCTGATCCTCAAGATGACATGAGCGTAGTAGAACTTGCAGTTCCGGTATCGTGGTCATTTAACCATTTTCTTGGACTGCCAACACTGAAATAAAGCCACCAAATATGTGGTAATGGTGCTCCCCTTCAAGAGTCGTTTGGTACTCAGGTATAGGAGATACTCGGCCAAGACTTGTTTTAGTGAGACCTTGAGCCTCTTCCTGACAAGTCTCAAATGATTGCCACTCATCACTGTAAAGGCCTGGAGTCGAGGGTCTATGCGCCATAGCCTTTGCCCAGGGACCTTTGTAAATGAACCAAGCATGCAGATGAAACCTGTCTGGCCTGGGCTGTGGTCCCCTGCTGTGTGGGTGCATGAATAGGCTGGGCCACCCCAGTAGAGGTAGTGGATCGCTTATCTTTTGCATCACCTTTGGAAAAAGTAGTAGGGGTGGAAGAGCGTATGCTATTTACCCCTCTCAAAGGGATGCTCAGCGCATTGACACCCATGCCTGTGGATCCAGTATCAGCAAGACATACGCTTGGATCTGGCAGTTTTGGCGAGTGGCGAATAGGTCGATGTTGTGTTGACCTGACCTGGGTTCTGACATAAGAGATTGAATGCCTCTGGGTGGAACTTCCACTCCGTGGGCTCCACTCTGTCTGGGCATCTCTGGTCAGGGCATCTACCAGCACTTTCCAACAACCCGGTATGTGCTGGACTAGGAAGTGAAGACCCAGTGGATATACCAGGCTGAAAAATCTGCTTGTGAAGGAGTTGTCCCCTGATTTCGCAGGCACCAGACCACCGTCATGTTGCTGGTGGAAATGGCTAGTTTGGGGTTGTGGAGATGCTCCTGCAAATGCGTTATCGCAAGTATAAGCGCCTCCAACTCTAGATTGTTGATCTGTCACATTCACTGTGTGCCAGACCACAGCACTAATGCTGTCTGATCCTCCAGATGCACACCCAAACCCTGCAGAGATGTGTCTACAAAAATGTGTGACAATGTCAACAGTAAGGAATTCTTCTGTGGCTGATTGGAACTTAAACAACAATATTAATTTATATATTTTATTAACATATACCATTACCAGATCCCGATATGTGTGTCTTGGCTACCACACAGTTGCCAAGGTTTCTGGGATCTGGTTGGCGGAGGAGCAAGATGTAAGACATCTTCAGCGTGTTCAGAGACCATACCTGACAACTGCCCATTTATTTGCGATAACTTTTACAAGTATACACGTCTCCCACTTTGGATAACACATATTCTGATGCTTATGAATACTAGTTGCTAAATGCTGTTGATTTTATGCTGTATTGTCAAGACTTCGAGTCAGACTAACCAAAAGCATTCTGCTAACGACCGCTGTCAAATCCGATAGTGTTCCTTTTCGGATGCAATAGGGAAGCTATACTGTATGGATCTGTTGAGGAAATTAGGGCGGTCGGGGAGTCTTGTGCTTAAAGCGTTCGCTCATCACGCAGAAGACCTGGGGTCGATTCCCCACATGGGTACAATGTGTGAAACACATTTCGGGTGTCCCCCGTCGTGATATTGCTGGAATATTTCTAAAAGCGGTGTAAGACCATACTCAGTCAGTATTGAGGCAATTACGGAATGAAATTAAGACCAAGAGACCTGGGAAGTGGAGAAAACTTGTGCTCTTCTATCAGGGCAGTGGGCCTGTGGACAAATCAGTCGGTCCATGGCTACATTGCATGGGTGTGGCAAGGAACTCCTTCAACACCCACCTTATTCCCGTCTCCATCAGACTTCCATCTGTTCCTAAACATGAAGTCAATGTTATTTGGAACCCATTTAGACTCGAACGATGATGTCTTGGGAGAACTTTTTTTGACAGCCATGAGAAGGAATTCCAGGCAAAGTTATGCATGACGTCAGGAGTCAAAAGGGTTAAGGACACGACCTTCTGTTTTATGCAATGAACCAATTAGTCGTTCGACCTTCGTTAAGAAAGAACAAGGGATGGTAATGAGTTTCCATATAAAGGATGTGCTTACAAAAGGAAAAGCATGGACAGTTTGAAAAACCTGCGTGCTTACCTGGCCTCTATTATGTCCTTTTATTAATCGACCGGATGTGCGAGCCGAGGAGTCCCATTGATGAAAGAGTAGCTACTCGAGCAACCACACATAAACTTCATCAAAGAAAGCCAAAGCTTCTATCGATACCAGTAAGAGATAATACGAGGGGTGTTCATTAAAGATTTCCTCTGACCCACTTCCGATGGACCTAGTGGAATGAAACTTGGCATAGGTATTAGTCTTTCTCAACATAGGAACCACCAAGAGTTACACACTTCTCCCATCGTTTTATGCAACTATGGAGACCTCGCTTGTAAAAGCCCTCATTTTGCGTCTCAAACCAGGATCAAACCATCATCATCTGTGAAACGTTTTCCCTTCAAAAATGACTTCATGGTTGGAAAGAGGTGGAAGTCAGATGTTGCAAGGTCAGGAGAGTAAGGAGGATGTGGAAGGATTTCATAGCCACAGGACTGCGCTTCTGTCTGGGAAAACATGAGAGTTGTGTACTGGAGCATTGTCTTGCAAGAGACGGACACCCTTGGTCTGCCTTAAGCTCTCTTAAGCCTCTTAAGCTTGATAGCATCCCGCAACAGTGAAGCATAATAAGCTCCTGTAATTGTGGTTCCCTTTGCCAAGAAATCCATCATCACTACTCCATGCTGGTCCCAAAACACCGTGAGCATGACCTTGCCTGCAGAGGGTTGGACACGTGCCTTCTTTGGGGGTGGTGACTCCACATGCTTCCATTGCATCGACTGAACTTTAGTGTCAGGATCATAGTGATGGACCCATGTTTCATCCTGTGTGATAAGTCTGTCAAAAACGTTTGCATGGTTTTTTTGGCACATGTCCAAAAGATCCTTTGAGCAACTGACTCGTTCCTGCTTTTGGAAAGGTGTGAGCAACCTGGGAATCCATCGTGCAGACACCTTATGCCTGTTCAAATTGTCATGGATGATTTTTTCCACAGACCCTACACTGATCTTGACATCTTGTTATAACTGGCGAACAGTTATAGTGTCCTCATCAATGGCTGAATGGGGGCGACCAGGAATGGCAGCTGTTTCCAGAGATGTCCGACCACACTTGAACTGGGGATGCCAGTGTTTAACAACATCATATGATGGGGCATCTTCCCCATAAGTTGCTTTTATTTCATCGAAAGTTTCTGTTGGTGTGCGACCTTTCAAATATAAAAACCTAAAAAAAATCACTGCTCGGTATTCT